CGATAGAGTCGACGCACTAGAAGTGACCTGCACTCGAGGCCGCTATACCGTTACCATCTTGATAAATATGACTGAGGCGTTCCCCTAGCCTAGTCATCCAGCTCAAGCCTGGATATCACCACCGTGCGCCGCGTCTTCCTTCCTGCTACCGCCCGTCTTGATTGCATTTCTTGCTACATTAGCGACCACAACAGTAGAGGCGCAGCAACAAAAGGCCCTTCTTACCCAGCTGGCAGACGTTGTTGTCATGTCTATTATACTTGAAGGTGCTATCCTCCCTCCGCATCTTCTCCAAGACAAGCCAGCCTCGTGGCCAAGTCCCTATTACCCTCAGTACTACCCCGCGCCCGGCTCCTCACCTCCCTCAATGTCTCCACAGTCGCATCACTCGTACATGCCACACCTACCAGAAAGTCCTCTTCCTTCTCAAGAGCTGAATAGTCAGCCGACTCCTGGCTGGTGCCCCTCGATTTCAGCCCCAGAGTACCATAGCGAGGTTTGTACTTCACCCTTGTTGCGAGATCGGCTGCTCATATATGGTTGTCTAGACCAGCTATGTCTCGTATCCCCACTATGTGCCTCCGCATACATCAACTATCAACCTATCGCAGCCCGCCCCTACGCTTCAATACTCAACGAGGGCTCCAGTTTCCGCTACGCAGCCATCAGCAGCCATCTCTCCAGGCACGGTCTACTCCCGGGACTCAGTAGTACCAGAGTCTACACGTCCTTCAGAAGAGCCTCAGTCTGACGCAAGAAGTGTGCCTCGTCAGTCCACGTCTCGTTTTAGGAGACAGTCCCGCCTCATGGACCGGTCTCACAGTAACTTAGACTCACTGCCTTCAGCAGCAGTAGACGGCCCATGGATGAACGCACTAGGCATCCACTCAAGCCACGATGCATACTACTCAGCATTCCCGACTCACAGTCCACAGTTGAGTGAACCGTCAACAGAACTATCATCTAACCAGATGACCTCACCACAACCGCGACGCTTGTACACACCAATCGCCCCTCTACCCCTTGAGACACCTCGGTCGCATGCAACCAAGAGGTACCGGGAAGACGACGAAGAAGATGAGCCTAAGCGAAGAAAGCGATCAGACTCGCAGATGTCAACGCAGTTCGAGCTCAGTGAGGAAGACAGACTACTGCTACGGCTCAAAGAAGATGAAAACATGCCGTGGAAGGACATCGCAGCGCGCTTTCTGACAGATCTCAATAAGAATTATCAAATACCAGCATTGCAGATGCGTATCAAGCGACTGAAAGAGCGCATGCGCATATGGGCCGATGCAGACGTTCAGGCACTGCGCAAGGCACATGATTACTGGGCATCAAGCAAGTTCGATATCATCGCACAAAAGGTATGCATCACCCAAAGACTCTCGAGTATATGAACTGACTTTGTTAGATGCAAGACTTTGGTGCTACAGAGAAATGGACAGCACGACAATGCTCACGCAAATGGCAGGAGGTCGATCCTGCGCCCATTCCATATGCCCAATTTGAGCACCACATCCAGCAGGGCTTCGCTCCCTACGCGATGAGCCCCATCGAGCCGTCGCATAGCAACTACTTCCTGCACACCTAGTCAGCCTCGCGTACGGCTGAGGGATGCGAGTGAATCATCCTGTATCGTCTTCTTCTTGTTCTTTCAACTGGGGATTGTCACATATGGACACTGTTCAAACGCTCTCGCGATGCGGCACAGACACATGGCGTTTAGCAAAATCGGGCGGCTTGCATAGGGATTTGGGGCTCAGCAACATTGAGGCAGCAGCGCGCAACGCCTCACGTTCACATTCTATCTTGTCTTCTTCGTTCGATACCCTTGCTTAACTTCACTGTTTCAAATTCTATAACGATCGTCATCGACTTTTGCCCCAGGCTAGCTGGACGGCCCCTTCTCTATTGCGCATATCATTACCCCTGCTGCAGGTCTTCTCAGTCGTATTCTTAAAGCACAGTATAGGCGTTTACTACCATGGAATGAACAACCGCGTCGCGCATTCTGTCATACTCACCACCCTTTTGCTTTCCATTTCGGTCGCAATCTGCATTTTTCGCACAGCCTTACTAACCTTATGCCGCCCTGTGGGGCCTTTTTTGTCTGGTCCCTCCCTCCTTCTCCAACGGGGCAGGCTTCTCCGTTACCCACTTATGCCGACGTTGACTGCGCCGCAATATGCAGATACAGTTGTGCCGCAATCACGGTTGTATCGATTTCTCGCGACTGTTTCAGAGGTGTCAATATCGATAGCTATGAGAGGCTCGCTTGTAGTCAAGTTAAAGCGATTCAGTTGCCAGCCATGTGGCAATACACACTTTTGCGGCAGAATTTGGCTTTCACCCGCGCGGCTCGCGTGTCTTGAGGGCGGCACGGTGGTGGTGCGATACCTTACCCAGAAGGTTTAGAGATGGACAGCGCCGCAATCGGGCCTTTCTTGCCTGGAGCTGCCGCTATGCGGAAAGACAGACACGTAACATTGCGTTCGTGCAAAGCCTGTCAAAGGGCACGGGTTGTCTTACAGTACGGTGCAATATGACGTGCTTCGCGACAAATGCCAATGCATGCGTAGGTACCTAGACGCACGTCACATATCTGGAACCGTTACGTATCGGCCGTTACGTACGGCACTGCTCGATCTTCTACCATGATAGGATCTGTCATCTCTGGGCATGCCTATCGCTTGGCCGGTACGTTGTACATATGTCATGTGCCTTCACACTCCCGCTTCTCCAACCACACTGGTACATGTGTAAGAAATGTCAAGAGTAAGAAAGCATGATCGACGCCAGCATCCCTTGTATTTCCCATGTGCAACTCGTGACTGGTCAGCATAGTCAGCCCTATGTGTGAGCTAGGTCGTACAGTTCCTATTCCACGCGAGGACCGTACAACTTACGTCCACCGTCGTAACGTGCAGGGACCCACAAACAAGTATGCTAGGGAGTCTCAGACACTCACACCGTACCTAACTTTGTGATATATCCCTGTATCCTCCACTGCTTGACTATGGTAGTTTCACATTCTCGGTGGCTCTGGTCGAGACCACTCTTCTGCAAATGCTTCAAGCACTGGCGGACCGCTTGGACCAGAGTGATCGAAAAGCACGGCTACTGCGCAGGTGCCTAGGGAGTAGACCAAGCAGATCAGCAAGATGAGCAGTCCTTACATAACGCCCACTATACTGACCAAGCTTGTGTGATGTAGTCGCATGAAGAACCTCACACGCTGAGATCAGCCCGGAGTTGCGGAGGAAAGGAGCTCTTTCGGTGAGGTTGACGTAGGCATAACGAAGATTGTAATGGTATACCTCCACATTGCGTTGAGAGCTACGCACGAATTCGGTTCACATGTGCCGTGAAGACATTCGTCAATCAAAGGCCCCGCAATCCTGAGCTCCCCTTAAGCTCTCAGTCGCTCTCTGAACGGTACGGGTGGCGCCGGTATGCATGGCGAGAGCAGCTGTCACGCTGTCCTTAGCTTGTAATCATGCAACATCCTTTGCACCGAAAGGCCCTCTGTGCGTCCCAGAGGGGTGACAGGTCATTGGAATCTAGCTGCTAGCTGTAAGCACAGCCATGAGAAGATCAGAGTTTTCGCATGATACTGTCGAGACTGTCGCGGCAGTCTGGATCGACGCGTTGACAGTAGTTTTTGAATACGGTCTGACGTGTATCACCAAATCTGCCAGATTCAGTTTGAACATGGAACGAAGTTGCATGGGCACGGTGCTAGTTGACCGGCGCGGTGTATAATCATGCGTCTGGTGGTTTTGACTGGTCAGCCCGTTTCGAAATCTAGTGGATGGCGATTTGCGGTTCGCCTGGTGACTGCCAGTGGCTTGCTCGGAAGGAGGGAACTTTTAGGTCACAAGCCCCAGTAAGCTTACATCCGCTCGTCAATGCTGTCGCGGACCGCGTCGAAGACCGGTTCGCTGCGCATGTACGCAGCTTACCTCTCGTCGATGTCACCAGCGGCCCGAACGGCCCTACGGTCGAGGTGAACAACGGCTGGTAGCGGCTTTCCGCCTAGAACTCCCAATAGGAGTGCTATTCAGAGTGATGATTTAGCGCACGCGAGCCCTTCTGGAAGTCCCCATGGGCTGCTTGTTGTTTGCGACCCAGCCTTCGAGGTTGTGCTGTGACCAGTCACAAGCTTTGTCGACCACGTGTGGTGCAACCCCCCACGTTCCTGCGTCGTTTCGCATCACGTAGCTGCTCGGAATCTGCCGCTGTTCTCACTTGGCTGGTCGTTTGACTACTGACAATAGCATTCCATGTTCTGTCTCCGAGGATAGGCACCTAATAGCGGCAAGACCCAGACGCGGGACGCAGACTAGTACAGTCGTAGTAGGTAACATTGTTCGATTATTCGGAATCTCCTCCGCATTGCCGAGCACAAGATAAGACAAGAGTCAGTAGGAACGGAACCCTGTAATAAAAGATGACGCATTGAGCGACGGTTGAGGCTTGCTTCGAGGGAACCAAACACATGGGGAAACATTGTGACTGGGTCATGATGTAGACGGAAAGGAAACTTGTGCGATCATGACAGAGAAGGTGCATTTGGACTTGACCGGGTTAGTGTTTCATGATCTACGCCCCACATCAGCATGTTAATGGAAGCGAAGAGTATTCCCTGTCTCTACGACCTCGACGATAGATTTGGTCGATGGAGGAAAATATTGTTGAACTGCACATGTTTTAGCCGCATCGTATGGGGTTCTATAAGTGGCACAAAGCGACCAGATGCTAGACCCCATGAGGTCACCATGCACGTGCCTGTAAGCGCACATCCCCTTCGCGGTTCACCGGTGGCACTGCAGACTTGCTGAACCACTCGTTCGCACGCTGATGGTCGGACAAGCCTCAAAGCTACGGTAGAGATCGATCTTCATTCCGATGATGCGATCGGCATTCATCGAGAATGAGTCGTACAAAGAGTCTTCGGCTAATATTGGACAGCTGTCGTACTACACTCCATAGAGTCCAGAAACGTAAATCGACTCCTGAGCTGCTGCCGGGGTACCGAACCACGGGCCAGTCTATCGGTGAGTCGGAAACACGGTTCAGGCCTGCAAGCTGCTATCCTCTTGCAGAAATCACATCCTCTTTACGCGACCCAGAGGTCCAAAAAGGAGGGGGTCGGGACGTTTCAGGATCCGTGGGCTCGCATGCGCAACGTGGTATGTAATTATCCATAGTGATCAGGCGGCTATTCACGTGCGTTCGCCCCACCAGCTTTCGCCAGTACCTTCTCCAGATCTTCTTCGGCCCTTCTAGCGCTTACAAGGGACCCGTCTTCTCGGATACTGTGCAGCTGAGGCCCGCGCAGCCGCCTAGGGTAGGCATGAAAGCTAGAGGCGTGATGCCTGTCTTCCTCTGCCTATAAGTGTTGAGCGTAAGAGAGCGTAATAAAGGCAGTGCTCGCTGGGTAAAACATATGCAGAGTGATGATGATGAGTAGAAATTAACCCGGTTATGTTCTTCCGCATTGAGTGTTTTTACCCCAATGTGAATTAGTGTTAATATTGCCAATCTGGGACATACCAAGTAATATGGCTGTTATGCGCGCTCAATCCGTTTAGCATTGAGGAGCTTCGTGAGAAGTACGAAAGTCCACCAAAAGCCGATGGAGTGACGATGATAAGGTGGTCGCTCCCTGTTCGGTGGTGAACTCGTTACTACCGCTTCTTTAGTCATCGGCTTCCGCAATTTATCTCCGTTATTTCCAGGTCTCCCCACGACAGCCTCGTACAAACGTACATCCATCCCATGTTATAAGCAACACACGCCCGAGACATTGCCATCTCCATCACTTCTGTTGCAATCGCGCTATGCGTACTGCTCTCACAAGATTGTCACATCTTCGTTCTCAAATTCCCCTCCCAAAGTCACCCCGATCCTTCCATACGTCATCAGCTATCATGGCAGGTCTTACCATCAACTCGCAATATGCCATGCCATCAGGGTACAAAATCCCCGTTCTTGGATATGGCGTATACCAAACACCAGCAGACGTTGCGTCTGAAGTAGTTCAGCATGCAATCAAGGTCGGCTATCGCCACGTGGACTCCGCGGTAGCCTACCGGAATGAGCAACCATCCGCGGAAGGGATGAAGAAGTCAGGAATACCGAGAGAGGAGCTATTTTTTACAACGAAGATACCCCCAAAAGACATGAGCTACGAAAACTCGAAACAACACATCGACAATACACTCAATATCACCGGTTTTGATTACGTGGATCTCTACCTCCTACATAGTCCCTACGGCGGCAAAGAGAACCGACTCGGGGCCTGGAAAGCGCTCGTTGAGGGTGTGCAAGACGGTAAGATTCGATCAATCGGTGTATCGAACTACGGTGTGCACCATCTGGACGAACTGGAAGCGTGGATCAAAGAGACTGAAGCCAGAGAGGGCAAGGGTAAGGGTGGAGTTATCAGCATCAATCAGATCGAGCTTCACCCCTGGCTTGCGCGTCCAGACATCGTCAACTGGTGCAAGCAACGGGGTGTGCTGTGTGAAGCATACTGTCCGCTCGTTCGTGCGACGAGGAATGAAGACCCTCTACTGAAACCGCTTGCGGAGAAATATAAAAAGACGCCGTCACAAGTACTGTTGAGATGGAGTTTACAAATGGTTAGCATATATGCGATCCTTCCCTGATATGGCGTACCATGCTGACATTGTTTAGGGATTCGTACCACTGCCCAAATCGGTTACCAAGTCCCGTATCGAGGAGAATGCTCAGATCTATGACTTCGAACTATCAGCTGAGGACATGAAGAGTTTAGATACTGGGGTTTATGAAGTCTGTGCATGGGACCCCACAGTCAGCCGTGATTAAGGTCATGAAAGCATGAAAGCATATAACGATGGATTCCAACCAACAACTGATACTAAGGAATCAAATTGGGGCTAGTTTAAGGGCCATACCCTAATATATCGGTCATATGAGTCTCTGTTTTGGTTACACAGAAGTAAAGACTGATTCATCCCAAAAGAATGACTCTTGCGAAACATCATCACTCTCCTGTTCTACCATACACCATTCTTCCATATTAAGATCCGTCTTCGCTTTACATACCACCTTAACTCTCGAGGTCTCCCCGTCCCATTCTGTCGACCAATTACCCTCCCAGAACGTAGCTTCTTCTAATTCGTCCCCCTGCTTCTTCTCTTTCATGTGCTTGAACATCTTAGATGCACTTGTACTATCGAGGTGTATTTTATGAAATGCTTCTTTGCTTTCACAGCCACTGTCGTTCCCGTCACTGAATCCTAATATCTCCGCTTCAGGTACACCTAATTGAGGATCATATGGCCACGAGCATTTGCTAAGCGAGTCCATCCACAAGTCTACTTTTCGTAATGTAGGAATGGTGGCAATCTTCTCGATCGTCTCGAAAGGCCATGTAGTATCATTGTATAGTACATTGACACTGAGATGTGAAAGGTTGCTTGTGTGGCTTGCCAGCACATCGAAGTCTCCATCCAAGCCGCCGAAATGCTGCGTCGGAATAAAGTCATCATGCCAACGAAGCTCGAGGCTTTGTAATGACTCTCCTTGATGATTAAGAATATCGGGTAAGTAATCTCGCATATGGAAGCCATTACAGAACGACAGATGCGTAAGCGTGTTGTTTGGCAGATTCGTGATCAATTCGATGTCCGTCGTTTTTAGCATCCGTAGTGCTCGCGATTGCGAGAGAACTTTGCGCACGCTGTCTGGAACACTCTCCACTGATAGTTCCTCGATAGCCGTCCAGTCCATTGCGTCAAGCCACAATTCGACGTTGGTCTTCTCGCGCTGCGCTTTTGGTTGCTTGCGCCACTTGAGCCAGCTCTTCCAATGACCCTTGTAGAACCAGTACAGTGTATCCATGAAGCAATCCAACTTGCCTCTCAAACGGCACTCCGGGCCAGTCCAAACGTCTTTTTCACTCCGTCAGTCCCAGCTATAGCGATCCAGCTTTAGAACTTTGAGGTCAACGTATCTTTCTCCGCCCAGGTGATTGAATGGGAGGTTCCGCCGGTCTGGCCATGTACTACAGAATCCATCAATACTGAGATCAAGGGAGGACATATTAGGGCATGTAAGGAGTGCCGAATGGACGGATTCCAGCGTTGTGAAATCGAAGTAGTCGGGAACGCAGATGTCGTCCGCACAGGGATTGGCAATAATCTTAGCAGTGATTGAAGTGGGACACGGATCACTTGGTATCCACGGCCTAGGGCGGGTTGGAGCAAGTTGTAGGGCTAGGCCGATGGGCAAGATGGAGAAGAAAAGAAGTATGAAGGCATGTAGGCGCATAGTAGCTGATAGCTGAACTTGAGAAAGTATTGAGATATTTGTAGTCTTGTTTGTCCATGCACCGCTCAGCTTTTACGCACAATATATAAGACTTATCTTGAAAGCATGAGTCAAACAAAACTAGATGTTGTTGTGCTGTCTTCTCTATGTTCTCAGTGTTGCCTGAAAATGCACAACTCTTAGGCGCCCAAGCTGCGATCTCGCGAATCTGGCCTACGGTCACACATGCGATAACAATAAATTCTTCATAGGATAAATATTAGCTGTTGTATCGCAAATTTGCTAAGTTCGTTGAGCGAAGGTTGCTGATATTCGCATGAAGTCCTGGTGTAGGCGCGTGGAGAGGCCGAGCTGAGCGAGTCGTTGCGAGTCATGGACAAATCGCGTTGACATGCACTGCGACGCGACGTGTCTTTCTCGCGCATCGTTGGCGCCCGAGCTTGTAATGACGACAACGCGAAGCTTGCGCCGAGGTTAACCGATACTCGACGTCGAACTTCTGTGCAACGTGTCGAACACCGAAGTGGAGAGGATGGTGGGTGTGACGTTTGCAGAGCGCAGGCGGCTGGCTACGTCATACTGACCTGTAGTGAAAACCATCCTTATACAACATGCTCAGGCATTCTTAGATACATGTACTAAACCATACCTTTTAATATCCATCAACATTTCTTTATTGAAGACACGTTATACGTTCTCCTAAATAACATACAAGTGCGACTCGGCTTTCATCATCATGGCCGCAAACAAGAAAGTTCTCATCGTCCTTTCCGACGCATCTTCGTTCCCTCTCTACAACACGGGTAGTGATGGGAAGACCGTCTCTCAAGACTCGGGCTACTTTCTCATGGAGTTAGCAAAGCCTCTACAGAAGATTCTCGACGCCGGCTACGAAGTCACATTTGCCTCGCCAGAGGGCAAGGAACCCACTCCTGACCCACTCAGCGTATCTCTGGCTGCCTTTGCTGGAAACTACTACGAGAAGCAAAGAGAGTTGGATCTAATCGAACGCATGAAGAAGGAGAATGGCTTCTCGCGGCCGAGAAAGTTCTCTGAGATCAGCGATGATGAGTTGAAGAACTACGGGGGTGTCTTCATTCCTGGTGGACATGCTCCCTTATCCGACCTGGGTGACAACGCCGACCTAGGCCGTATACTCACACACTTCCACACTTCATCAAAACCGACGGCAGCAATCTGCCACGGACCTTGGGCTTTCCTGAGTACCAAGTATGGACCTAGCAAGAAGTTCGAGTACTCGGGCTACAAAATGACAAGCTGGTCAGATGCTGAGGAGAAGTTGATGGAGACGATTTTCAGGGGTGAGATTGACAAGGTGGAGGGCACGCTCAGGCAGGAAGGCGCAGACATGCAAGAGGGTGTTGCCAAGTCCATGGGAAATATTACCGTGGACAGGGAGCTTGTCACTGGTGACAACCCGATGGCGGCGAACGCGCTTGGAGACAAGTTTTTGGAGATGATGGCGGCCAAATAGTCGACGGGTGGTGGATTGTGAGAGATAATGGGACATTATGTAATACTATATGAGCTACGAATGTATAATGGAAGAGTCGGAGCACCTTGTCGCGCTGTTGGATGTGAGTGCTTCGCGGGCTTATCGGAAGTAAGCGAAGGCTGCCCGCCCCCCGGCCCACGTGCCGAGCAAGCATATCCACTTTCGCGTCAAGCTTCACAAGTGATAACGGCGTATCTCGCAGCACCGAGGCAAAGGCGAAGGCTGCTAAGTAGTCCGATAGCAGATAGTAGGACTGTGACTAGGGCATGCGACCCCGCACCCAAACGATAACTGCCACAGATCATCCTCAACAAGCCAGTTACGCCTTGGGAGCTGTGAGACGCCTTCCTCAAGAGCGTTGGCGACTGCCACTACGGGCCAGGCGCAGGACGTGACAGCAGCGATGGAAGCTTCTGATAGCAGCAAGCGCGGTTCTGCCTATATCGCCGGTACCAGCTCGGCGCATTAGCATCAGCCCCAGAAAAGCATGGTTATAGAATGACGCAGGTCCATCCGACAGCCCATCGCCCATTCCTCGTTACAAAGTTGGGATAGCTTCACATCCACCGCTGAGCCCCATACTCCTCGGCGACGACACCATGGCTACACCGGGTTACCGACTGGGTGTTGATGTTGGAGGGTGAGTAGTGCCTGCCTCGATTGAATTTTGCCTCGTGTACCCGTGGGAAGACGCCCACCCGCTAGCTTCTTCTTAGCCACGGCGGCGAACATGCAGGCCTTCCCCGAGTCCACAACTGCCACCACCTCACTGCTTGCCTGGACCCGGCCCAGGTCATGGGATGCGGCTAACACGATCCCAGAACCTTCACCGACGGTACGGCCCTTTTGCGCAAAGTATACTTCACCGATTAACCGAGCTTAGTGTGCGTCATCACGCCCAACGGCGAGGCAGTACGCACAAAGGTACCGACCAACACGACAGACCAGTCAATTGGCGTGCACGAAGGCGTGCAGCAGGCGCGAAAAATACTCAAAGACAAGTACAACTGGGACGGCAAGTTCGAGTATATACACCATGGCACCACCACGGGCACCAATGCCGTGCTCGAAGGCAAGGGCGCCAAGTGTGGCCTCATCGTTACCAAGGGCCACAAGGACATACTGGCCACAAGACGCAGCCAGATACCGGGCGGCCTAGGTTCGTGGATGCATTATGAACAGCCCGAGCCTCTTGTGCCGCTCGAGAGAACCGTCGAAGTCAAAGAGCGTATCAAGATTGATGGTGACATATTCTACGACTTGGATGAAGATGAATTACGGAACGACTTACAGGATCTCAAGCGACAACAGCCTCAAGCCATTGCCGTGTCGCTCATCAATTCCTTCGCTAATAGCACGCATGAAGAACGCATCAAAGCTATACTGGTCAGCGAATTTGGCCCAGATGTTGAGATTGTCACCTCAACGGACGTGCTGCCAGAGATACAGGAATACGAGCGCACCGTTACGACGGCTGCGAATGCCATCGTCAAGCCAGTAGTCAAGAGCTACATGCAGAACCTGCAGAAAATGCTTGCGGATGACACCGATACAATCCGCATCTTGAAATCCGATGGCGATCTGACGTCGGTTCACCTCGCCGGTGAAACACCAGTGCGCATCCTCATGAGCGGCCCAGCCGGCGGCGTCAAGGCAGTCTCGCATCTGGTCGCCAAGAACACGCCTTACAAGAATCTCATCACCTTTGACATGGGAGGAACTTCTACCGACTGCGCTTTACTCTCAGGTAGCGATGCTATTATTCGACGAGAAACCGCCATCGGTCACTTATCCGTACGAGCCCCAAGTGTTGATGTTAACACTGTAGGCGCTGGTGGCGGCTCCATTGCGATATTCAACGACTTTACAAAAACGTTGCGTGTTGGGCCAGAGTCCAGTGGTGCTACACCTGGTCCTGCGGCGTATGGCAAAGGTGGGACCCAAGCGACTGTGACTGATGCAAACTTGGCGCTGGGTCGCCTTCCTTCGAAGCTACTAGGCGGTAAATTCCAATTGGATGTTGCCGCATCTACTGCTGCAGTTGAGTCAATTGCTAAGCAGATGGGCCTTGATACTGCTTCCGCAGCTGAAGGAATCATCGACTTAGTAAACGAGTCCATGCATGGGGCTCTTCGTCTGGTATCCGTTGAGCAAGGCTACGACCCACGCGACTTCGCCTTGGTTGCTCTCGGTGGCGCTGGTCCGCTCCATGGTAACGCTCTAGGTCAGCTTCTTGGTTCCTGGCCCGTCATCGTCCCTCCCTCTCCTGGTGTTCTTTGTGCACAGGGTGATGCCATCACCAAGATGTCCCATGAGCAGAGCTGCACATACATTCGCGCCTTCTCAGATATCACAGAGCAAGAGCTCAAGGAGACATTACTCAATCTCAGGGCTAGTGGTGTAGACACCATGAAAACCTCGCTTGCCGATGAGAACGCTGCGTTGCATGTCATATACCAAGCGGATATGCGTTACAAGGGTCAAGCCATGACACTTACTGTTGATTTGAGTTCCAGTGAGCTCGAAAGCTCAGACAAGCTCGTGGACATCTTGCGTAACAAGTTCAATGAAGCCCATCAACATCAGTTCGGATTTTCACATGCGCATGCCGAGATGGAGACGATGCGCTTACGTGCCAAGGTTGTTGATGCTTCCGAGGAGGTAGCCTTCAAGCCGCTGGAGGATGCTCGTACATCCGAACCTTGGGAAGGTGCGATCACAGCCAAGCAGTCAATCGTCTGGGATGGCAAAAAGGTCGAAGCCACATTCTGGGACCGTTCCAAGATTGGAGGGGCTGGGAAAGTCATACATGGCCCAGCGGTTGTCACGGAGATGGACTCGAACACGCTCATATTGCCCGGCTTCTATGGAAAGATCGACTCCATGGGTAACATACTCATTTGGCCTACCGAGAAGAAGGAAGAACGAAAGACCGTTCATACGAAAGAGTCAGCTCAGGATATGATCAAAGAGCAGCCCATTATTGCCACTCTCATCGCCTCTGCGCTTGGGTCTATCAGAAGAGAGATGGATGCACTTCTGCTTCGTTGCGCCATGAGCCCGGCGATTCGAGAGCAACAAGACGAGTTCAACGTGATCACTAATACAAGGGGACAGATGCTTGTTGGTCAATTTGGGTCTTTCATACAGCAATTCCTGAACGGTTGGAACGGCACGGTCCAAGAAGGCGACGTCTTCGTGACCAATGACGTATACCAAATCGATGGTGCCGTATCACACCTCAACGACGTTATCGTGCTACTTCCCATATACTATGAGCACAAGCTTATAGGCTGGGCGGCGAACTTCGGTCACATAACTGATGTGCAAGGAAAAGTCCCGGGCTCTATGAGCATCAACGCCAGTACCATTTACGAAGACGGTCTTCAAATTCCCATTGTCAAGCTATACACAAATGGTGTTTACAACGACACTCTTGCAACTGTACTGTTCCGCAACTCTCGCGCCCCAGATTGGTTCCAGAGTGACCTAATGGCGCTCGTTACCGCCTGTCGAACAGCTGCTACACGTGTCACCGAGCTCTGTGAACGTTATAGCCTGGAGATCTACGAGGCAGCCACAGATTATCTGCTGGAGCAGAACAAGCTTGCCATTAGTAGGATCATCAACGAGAAGATCAGCGATGAAGTATCAAGCTTCACCGACTTCATCGATGACGATGGACAGGGCATCGGTCCATACGCTATTACTTGCTCAATGAAGAAGCAGAATGGCAAGCTCATCTTTGATTGGGACGGCACATCACCTCAATCAAATACGTCGATGAACTTTTATCTCTCGATCACTTTGTTCAAGATGTTCATCGGGTATCATCTGCTCGCAATTTACGATCCTTTTGCAGTAAGAATCTTATACGTAAAAGCTATAAAAGCTATGAGCTAATTTCGACAGGTTGTCAATGACGGCTTCCACGATTTACTCGACATCAAAATCCCGACCGGCACCATTCTTCGTCCCGTCCGCCCAGCAGCCGTCAGTTGCCGTACTCATCTTCTCGGTCGTATCATGGATGTATTACAGGCGCTCTTTGGTCAACAAAACCCCGCCTATCGTTGTGCAGCAGGGTTCTCCGATTCACCACATCTATTCTACTCCGGTTTCAAGCCTGATGGCGAATTCTACTTGCTCTACCAGATCGGCTTTGGTGGTGTGCCTGCGCGACCGATCGGTGACGGTCCAGACTGTCACTGTCTTTTCCCAGCCATCAAGTCTATCCCGGCTGAGAATATCGAGCTCTACTTCCCTGTCATTATCGAGGCCAATGAAGCTTTACCGGACTCCGGAGGCGCTGGTTTCTACAGAGGAGGTAACGCACAGAGGACCCTATATAGATGGCTTTGTGAAGGCGATGTCAGCACGCACGACGACCGTTGGCTGACCAAGGCATGGGGTGTTAACGGTGGTAAGCCGGGAAGCAGATCGAGGAAGATCTTGTACCGCAACAACAGCTATGGCACAGCAGAAGAAAAGGACAATATGGAATTATGTCAGTCGAAGCAGGATCACATCCACGTTTATCCAGGTAAGTCTAAGAATTTTACATGTTCGAGATTGATACTGACCCACTCAGGCGACGTTTTGGAATGGATCACTTGGGGCGGTGGAGGTCTTGGCGATCCTCTTACGCGCCCTCCCGAACGTGTAGCCCAAGAAGTCCATCGCCGTCTCGTCACTGTTGAAGGCGCTCGGGACAACTATGGTGTCATCGTCGATCCACACACTTTCAACTTCGACAAGTTTGCCACCTCGACACTTCGCAGCAAAAGACGTGAAGAGCGCTCGATAGAGGGATATAGTACTGACAATGTGATTGACCGCGGCGGCACTCTCAGTGAACTGATGCAGAAGTGCGAAATCGAAACGGGGTTGAAGGCTCCTATCCCGCAGTGGGAAAAGAGGATTTATGGTCCGCACGCAGGATTGGAGTATGTGAGGAACTGGTATGATAAGATGAAGAAAGAAGGTATGGAACGGTGGGATAAGGCATAAGGCAGGTTTTCACACCAAAGGTTAAGCTGGGCGCTGATGTAACGCTGCATGGTACTAATCCATCTGGTCTCAGTCTACCGCTAGGTCACCTCTTCAATTGTACAAATAGTTCTGGATCCCTCGCTTCCAGGAATTTGAGCATCTCATCGTCGAAATACGTCCACTCTTCTAGTGGCAAAAAGCCATTGACAGCAGCTGTGTCCGGATGATCCCTCTGATTAAATGCCTGTGCGAGTTCTGGTAGTCGCTGATCAAGAGGTAGAGCGTAGAGCTGTAAGATTGTACGATCCCGGAAATACGCTTTCTCCACCTTAGCGTCATCAGCGAAGAAGCATTAAAAGCGCAAGACGTAGCTCTTGACAACTGTCATCCCGACGACATAATCGTTGAATGAGGGTAACGACAAGTGCATCTGGACGCTAGGCGGTATTGGAGACAAAGTCACCCTGAAGCCGGCATGGTCGACCAGATAGTCCGGGTAAGGCGACGGCTCGATATCAGATGTGTTTAAAGTGAATTTCAGTCTTTGATATAACATTGAAATTTATGTCGCGAGGATAGACTCATACTCTACATATTCTCCTTCTCCTTGACCGCCTCACCCATAGCCTGTGTATCCGTTTTGTGCGTTGCGAAGCTTCTTGCTTTTACTTTATTAGCAAACATCTCATCCAACTCCTCGTATGTCCGGCCAGCTGTCTCGGGCTGGTAGAACCAAAGATACACTAGACAAATAATGGACAAAGCACCGAAGATAAAGCCTAGCTTCCCACCAAGATTGAGTTGATCAGGATTGAACAAATAGGGTAGCACGAAACTCCACATAGTGTTGAGAGCATTCTGTAGGGCGAGCCCGATGGCGATGGTTTTGACGCGGAGACGGGAAGTTGATGTCTCGCAGAGAATGGTGTAGGCAGTGGCTCCAATCGTAACGTTATACCAGAAGCAGTAGATGAGGATCATACTGATAGCACCTTTCAATGCAGGGACGGTACCGACAACGGCGAGGCCGGCCATGACGAACAAGATGATGGTGAGAACAAAGAGACCCCAGAAAGTAAGGTTGCGACGACCTATTCGATCGACTAGGTACCAAGACATGACGTTTCCGATAAGTGAGATAACTTGCTGGACGATCTGCAATTTGAATGACATGGCTGTTGTAAATCCGGCGAGTTGCATGTAGTATGTTGAGTACGAAGCAGCGAAAGTGATGCCACTGAGAGACTGTATGGTGAGCGGCATGATCGAAATGATCGTTCGCCGGAGGTTGGATTTGCGGAAACACTCCAGGTATGTGGCGCCTTCAGTCTCGCGCTTAACCTCTTGTAGAGTTGTCATAATCTGAGCGAGCTTTTGTTCCCCTGCAAATCCACGATGACCAAGACTGTTGAGAGCCTTCAGTGCGTCTGCCTGTCGATCTTTAGATGCGAGCCACCATGGAGACTCGGGCATGAACCAGACGAAAGCAGTAGCTATGGCAGCAAACCCATACTGTGCGCAAAAGACAGCACGGTATGCCCAACGGTTGGTGTACACTCCAGTGGAGTTGACAATGAGCGCAACTGTAAGTGGCCCGAGGGTGTAAGAGAGAGCAGTCAAGCAGGTCAGCATGCCTCTAAGTTTCAAAGGAGCGACCTCGCCGATGTATGTTACGGTAACCGATGCCAGGGCACCGACAACGAAGCCATTCAAAAACTTGCCACCGAAGAAGAGCTCATTTGTTGTCGCAACAAATTCCATGGTGACAGCGGCGAAAGTGACTGCGAGACAAATCATGACCACTAAGCGGCGGCCAAGCCAGTCAGCAAGTTGCCCACATCCAAGGGCACCCACGATAGCACTGGAATCGTTAGTCTTGTCGTAGGATTTGACGATCTCAATGACTCACGAAGCTACGGGTGCACCCTGAAAGGCTGACTGCCACTGAGCATCAACGACATAACTTACAGTGCCGTCGTCTGCAGTAAACTGATGCCCGAAATCCTTCCTGAACTCCGGGATACCGATGACATTGCCAGCTGCTTGATTCTCGAAACTGACCAGCAGGACTATCCACACCATGTAGATAGACCAAGCACATGCCCAAGGATACTTGCGGAAGGACGCAAGTTTACCAACTTCATGGTCTTCTTGATTGGCGAGGTGACCTAACGCGGAAGTGTCTGCGGCGGTCGTTGTCTCCGTTACGTGTTCGTTGAGTTCGACCGTGTTGGGCGTCTTGTCATGGTCTGGAGCCATGATGCTTGAGGAGACACAAAGGCTTGATAGCGCTGATACAGCCAGTGAAGGAAGTATAGTGGAAGTGAACGGAAAGGGTCAGCAGGGCTCATCCCCGGTTGAAAGATCAATGTAGATCTGGAGAATGCGGGGGTAGCCACTTTATAGGTCTGCCAGAATCTCGAGGCCACCTAAGTTGTGGATCAATTCACGCGCATCGGGAGGAGAAACCGCCAGAAGACGCCTCGACGCGAGTGCTCGGATGAACGAAATATGCAGATACCACGTTTGCCGCTGTATCGCTGCTTCCTCCCCGTCCGCACTTACATGGATTGAGAATCGCGTTGACACAACTTCCCCAGATCCGGACTTTCGGTACGTTCAAGGCGACGTTCTATGCGCATGGTCAATGTCTCCGAAAGTTTAGTCTTGTTTGGGCGTCTTGCTGCATCCGAGGTTCTGCCGATTCACTGCTACCCAATGGTCTCCCAATAGCGTACCCGAGGTTTTGCCGGCCGCGCTCCTGCAGTCCTCTCCGAGAGAATATCGGCCTTGGGGTAGTTATGCTCACGAGCTTGGTTGGTGAGCTAAGAGTATCTCGATACAGAGAATAGTAATTATGAAGTTATGGTATGTGCCCTAATAACATCTTTTGTTGAAGAAAAGGATGCCGTTACAGATTTCATGGATCTGGTATGTTCGGCAAGTGATGTTCCGGCAGGTCGATCATTGTTACTGTGTGGGGTGAAATCACGATATGTTGGGTGGGGAAAGGCTATCGGCTCCGTTTCAAGGCAGTGGCGACCATCAACGCCCCTTCTTGCATGCTCAACATACACGTCATTGACTCAGGAAGCTAGAGCTACCTCGCATCGAATTGATGATACTGAGAACACGGGTTCTATTGGAAACTACAGTACATTATCCACATCATCAATAATCTGCACCTTGATACTTCCATTGCTCAAGTCCCCGCATGTGTGCAAAGCTTCCAGTGCCTTCTCCAAAGGGAATGTGTGACTAACAAGTGGCTTCAGATCAAGAATACCACCAGCCAAACATTGCAAGCCCGAGGGCCATGTGTCGCGGTAGCGATTGATGAATTTGAGATCGATCTGTAGCAGCAGTCAACGGAGAATGTCCAAGATATACTTGCAGAAATGAACCTAGTGAAGTACAGAGCACATACCTCAGCCAGACTTAGATGCATGAAGGGTAGGTTGTTCATGATCTCCTTCCCTACGCCGATTACCATTACCGTGCCACCTCTTCTCGCTGTGTACGCCGCGGTGACAACACTGCTCTCCACACCCGTACACTCCAACACAGTTTCTGGTGCACCATACTCGCCAACATTCTCAAAGTCGAAAAGTTCCCTGATCTTTTTGGCATTGCCCTGCGCGTCAAGACTTCGATCAACCTGGTAGGTGGCGACCGTCGGTACGAATTGTTTTGCAAACGCCAGTCGCTTAGGCTCAAGATCCGTAATGACAAGCGGATGCGCTCCACTCGCTCTCGCTGCAGCCAGCGCGATGAGACCAATTGGCCCAGCACCGCAAATCACCGCACCGCGGCCGAGGGACAGACCTGCTGACTTGATGCCATGCATAACAACGGAAAGCGGTTCGAGCAGCGCGCCTTCCGCATACGAAACGCTAGACGGAAGCTTGTGACACCACTTCGCGGGGTGCGTCTTGTAGCGCTGGATAGTACCGTGATATGGATAGACACCTGCAAAATGGACGTCTTCACAAAGGTTGTATCGGCCGTCCAAGCAAAGAAAGCATGAGCCACATGGAACACCAGGCTCGACTGCTACGCGATCACCTGGACTAAACATCAGTACTGGAGAATGAATTCAAGGCGTCGAACACACCGGGCTTGAGAGTTGTAACGTCTTCACCAGTTTGTAGGACAATTCCTGCCGCTTCATGTCCAAGAATACAGTCGCCTTCGACGATGAGTGAGCCTATTCTCCCAGCCTTCCAAAAGTGAATGTCGGATCTGACACCTCATTAGCCTTGACAACCCCTCTGTGTTAAAACTTCGTACCCGCAAACACCTGTAGCTTTGATATGCAGCAATACTTCTCCCCTCTTTGGCGCGTACACAGGCGCCTCTTGCAGCTTCAAATTGTGGTCTGCGGTAACTTGTAACGACGGGTTCGGCAATGGTGTTTTGATAGTTGCCTGTGTGGTAGCGGTAGGCTTTGCGTTGGACGAAGTAGATTCAGGTGCCAGTGCCGGGGCCATGTCTGCTTGCTGAAGCTCAATCATCGAAAGCAAGGGCAAGCGCTGTCAAAGGATAGACACACACCAAGTAGCCCCACATGTTCAGCGCGTCATGTTGCCATTCTGGCGAGAAAGGAAGTCCCGTCCTCGCAACGGGGATCAGCATGTGCAGTAGTCCGTGGCGAAATGCGGGGAAGCCTTCAGTGGGATTGACAAAGTAGTGTGTTGGTGGCACTGGTTACCGTAATTGATCTAGTCGTGGTTGTCCCGTCCAATGGGAATCGAGAAGACGACATGTATTCCCGCAAGAGCGACTCGTCGGATTACCAAATGTGGAAAGCCCGGCCAACTGTTCTGGATATACGTCGAAGATTAGTTTTCATAGCAGCACAAGAGATACCTAGAAACGATACTCCTGTTAGTCCTTTCAGATTTATAAGTCTACTAATATTCGCGTGGTGAAGTTCATACCTCGCATTTCCCTCTCACAAAGACACAAAATGCATACATCGCAAGATTCACCGCAAGTGAACGGCTCGACCGGTTACGGTCAGAACGTCGTAGATGGACTGAAAAAAGAGGCGAAGTTGGAACAGTCATCGGTCCAAAAATTATCGAAAGAGCAAGATCATGTTTTGAAAACCTTCAGACTGCTCATTGCGGATCTGTGTCAACAGTTCAATGGCGGGCATCCCGGGTAAGCAGTCCAACAACCTTCGAAATCATAGGACTAAAGATATGATAGAGGCGCCATTGGTATGGCTGCGATTGGTGTCGCACTGTGGAAGTATGCCATGCGATATGCACCGCACACACCTACGTACTTCAACCGGGATCGATTCGTCCTATCAAACGGCCACACATGTCTTTTCCAATACACCTTCCTCCATCTCACAGGGTATAAAGCCATGACTTTCGATCAACTGAAGTCGTATCACTCAGATCGCGTCGACGCTCTTTGTCCAGGACATCCTGAAATTGAACATGAAGGCATTGAGGTGACGACTGGCCCGTTAGGACAGGGTGTAGCTAACGCGGTGGGTCTGGCAATGGCGACAAAGAACCTGCAGGCGATTTACAACAAGCCAGACTTCGACGTGGTGTCGAACCACACATGGTGTATGATCGGAGACGCGTGCCTTCAAGAAGGTGTTGCCTTAGAAGCAATCTCTTTCGCTGGCCATCTGAAGCTGAACAACCTTACCATTATTTACGACAACAACCAGGTCACTTGCGACGGTTCTGTCGATTTGACCAATACTGAGGACGTGAATGCCAAGATGGCGGCATGCGGCTGGGATATCATCGACATTGAGGATGGCTGTTTCGACATTGAGGGCCTTGTTGAGGCTCTGAACAAGGCACGATCATCTACTGAGAAGCCCACATTCATCAATGTCCGAACGGTAATCGGCCTTGGCAGTGCTGTTGCAGGCGATGCAGTTGCGCATGGCGCAGCTTTCGGCGCAGCGGATGTAGCCAACATGAAGAAAGCTTACGGCTTCAATCCCGAGGAGCATTTTGTTGTTAGCGATGAAGTGCGCAGGTTCTTTGAAGATATTCCGGCGAGGGGCGAGGAGCTTGTAAAGTCCTGGGAGAAGAAAGTAGACGAGTATCTAAACAAGTATCCGGAGGAGGGAACCGACTTCAAACGCAGGGTGGAAGGTCGCCTGACAGAGAACTGGAAAGATCTGGTTCCGAGCTCATTTCCCGATGCGCCGACGGCAACGAGAAAAGCGTCGGGCCTGGTCTTCAATTCGATCGCCGAGAAGATAAACAACTTCATGGTCGGCACAGCGGATCTGTCGCCCTCGGTCAATATGATTTGGAAGGGCAAGGTCGATTTCCAGAATGTAAGTGTTGCACTCTTCCCTCTGAGAAGCAGGTCGCTGACAAGTCTCAGCCTGATCTGAAGACAACATGCGGGATTGTAGGCAACTACAGCGGACGGTACATCCATTACGGTGTGCGGGAGCATGCCATGTGTGCCATCTCCAACGGTTTGGCAGCTTTTGCGCCCAACACGTTTATCCCTGTCACATCCTCTTTCTTCATGTTCTACCTCTATGCAGCACCGGCTGTTCGAATGGGCGCGCTGCAACAGCTCCAGGTCATACATGCGGCGACACATGACAGGTAGCATCCCCAGAGCTCTTCAATGGTTCCTCACTGACATCAACATAGCATTGGAATGGGCGAAGACGGTCCAACTCATCAGCCAATTGAACTCGCAAACCTCTACCGCGCTATGCCCAACCTATTGTACATTCGACCGGCCGATAGCGAGGAGACTGCCGGAGCGTGGATCACAGCGATTGAGGCGAATAACACGCCGACCATCATCTCGACATCGCGGCACACTCTTCCTCAGCTTGCACAGACGAAGCGGGATTCGGTCGCGAAAGGTGCATACGTAATCGAGGAGGTTGAGGATGCGGATGTGACGCTTATTGGTGTCGGTGCAGAGCTGCATCATGCGGTCGATACAGCGAAGGAGCTGAAGGCGAAGAACATTAAAGCACGCGTCGTGAGCTTCCCGTGCCAGCGGCTATTCGATGCCCAGTCTACACAATACAGGCGAGAGACTCTAAGAAGACATCGCGGCATTCCAGCTGTCGTTATTGAGCCGTATGCGCCAAACGGATGGGAGAGGTATGCCGATGCAGCATGTTGTGTAAAGCGCTTCGGTCACAGCTTGCCAGGCAAAGCAGCCTACAAATACTTTGGCTTCGATGTGCCTGCGTTGACGGCGAAGGTAGAGAACTACCTGCAGCAGGTGCGCGACGATCCACTATTGAAGGGCGAGTTTGTCGATTTATGAGTTTCGCGAGCTGTAAAACAGATAGTTAATGAATTGTACATGTACTCCGTTACTTGTCCTCGGTTGATGCATAGTCGTCATCGGGTTTCGCTGTCTCGGTTGATGTGGGGAAGATTGCTAGGACGCAACGCGTTGAGCTGGTGGACGTGTTCCGCGCTTGCTCTGTATTCGGCTAGCGTCTCCATGTGGGCACCTTGTCGTCAGCTACCCTTCGCAGTCGTAACTTCCATGCCTCCTCCTCTATACTTTGAGATACACTTGCGCCCCACGGAAGACGAGAGCAGTTTGGAGAATGTGTTATTAGAATGAGGCAGTCTACAGCTCTGATGACATCATACCAGCCTCCTAATATTCCAAGATCAAGACAGGATATTTCCTTCCATTAGCACAAGAGATCAGCCATTGTATAATCTTAAGTGAACAGGAAGCTTGATTTGTATTATCAACTGGTCCGCTTCAACGGGAAACCGACCAGAATGAAAAAAAGACTCCAGCGATCATTCTCTAAAGAAAGGTATGTGATATATTCTGAGCGTGCTTTTGGACAATGGGCATGATATAGCAATGCCCCTAGAACAGCACACTGCGAGGCTTTTCAGCAACTAAGGACCTATAACTCAAGAGCTGGAGAAAGATCGAATGCGTACAGAACGTAGGTGGACGGCGACGCCCCGCTATAAACATATCGGTAAGCCCCGCACGTACGCCACCGGCAGCCCCCGACGTGAGTAACACGATCAACGAACACTTCGAACGATAAGCGAAACAGCATTCGCGGTCAAAAACGACTATAATCCCATTCCAAGACTGACATTGCAGATCTCGCAACATCAAATTCTAGCACGTCTTCCCATTGCCAGTCACGAAATGTCCTCCGACACAACTTCAACATCTCTACCGCCTGAGAAGCTCGTCTCGCAACTCTTATCTACGATAGAGGAAAGGATCATACCTTTGACGCAGAAAGGCGTCTCGAGCGGCTCTAAGCTCTTCGGCGCCGCTATTCTGGCCCGTAAAGACCTTGCACCATACACGCTTGCCACAAACAACGAACGCATATCACCTCTCCTACATGGCGAGATAAACTGCATCCAACAGTTCTGCACTGTCGACTTCCCTGATCCGTCAACACGACCTCATCCGGCCAAAGACTGCATCTTCCTCGCTACCCACGAGCCTTGTTCTCTCTGTTTAAGCGGCATTACTTGGGCGGGTTTCAACGAGTTTTACTATTTGTTCACGTATGAGGATAGTCGGGATCTATTTGGGATCCCGTATGACATCGACATCCTGCAAGAGGTATTTAGGGTGCAGGGGGAAGGCGAAAACGAAAAGCAGGTACAGAGCAGGCAACTGTACAATCGCAAGAACAAGTTCTTTACCGCGAAGAGCTTTGCTGACGTCGTCGGAGAGATTCATGATCGAAGCGAGAGGGAGAGGCTATTAGGCGAGATTGAGAGGGTCAAAGGTTTGTATAACAGTCTAAGTGAGACATATCAAAAGGGCAAAGAAGCGGGTGCAGAAAGCTCAAGTGTATGGAAGTAGATTGCTTGAAGCTCGGATTACTATATAGTGATAGTGAGGTCTGTGTTGGCAACGATAGACTTTATGAGCGGCTTCGAGTTCCGCTCCCAAAGGTGTCGCTTCCTGCCCCACATTTATCGATAACAAATTTCAGTTAGCTTCGACCCCTCCGGGTGCACTTGGTGTCGAACTTCAAGTAGAGAGCATCTGACTCTAGCAGAATTAAATTCTGTCAGCTGAAATCCACTTCACGCCCTGTACTCCTGAATTTCTGTTCCTCACCGAAGCAATTTTCCTGTCATTTCGTTGGCGGATACATCAGGATTGACTGCGAGGCAATCCGGAAACGTTCACAATCGGCACGCAAGAAAGATTTTTAGTAACACCTGCGGAAAGTTGAGAGATTGGCCAGAGAACAACGCGATAGGTTGCAAATATGGCAAACAGCCAGCGTGAAGACAACACGATATACTTAACGGAGAAAGAGGCGGAGCGGATACAGAAGACAGTCAAAGAACGATTAGAAAAGTGCAAGGAGCAAAGCGGAAATGTAAAGGCTCCGAGGGACAAGCTAGCTGCTCACCAGCAGGCCACGGGCGCAGCTCTCATGGCAGACATGGGAGGTGCACCGGATCCGGATATGATGCAAACCCAAGGCAAGACTTCAACTACGATCCCTGTCATTGGCGTAGGCCAGCCATATCCTCCATGCACGACGCCACTGTCAGATTTGAAGCCGATGAAAATGGCAGATCTGAAGATGGAGACGCATCACCGAGGCTACAAACTGGTTGTAAAGCGAGAGAGCCCAGTAGTTACACTCGTCGCGAGGTCGTGGACTATGGTTCAGGATGAGGACGGAAGCGATGCAGAACGTCTGGAGATATTGCTGCACAAAACACGGTACAGCGAAGATGTGTTGGAGTCCACAAAGCAGTTCATTATCAAAGAGCCTTACTTTACCCTCACTGAACAGGGAGAGCCTACTCTTCGAATCGATCATCCCTCTGACCTAGTCATCTGCCACGAAGAGGGCACCAAAGATTGGGCTGATGCAGCGGCAGCGGAGAAGGCAGCTACACGCTTCAAAACTCAGGGCAACAACGCACTTAAGAAGCAGGATCTCCCACTAGCCCACGAGAAGTACACCACAGGCCTGGCGATCGCAAAGCAGGACATCGTCGCAGGAGAGAATCCCGATCTAGCGCGCGACATTTTTCGGAATCGTGCTTATGTCAACCTGCTACTAGGTCGGCTAGACGAAGTGAAGACTGACGCACGAGCTTCACTAACCGGAAGAGACGATCAGAAATCAAAGGAACTAGATAGCAAAGCTTACTACCGCGCTGGGTCAGCCTCGTACAACCAGAGCCGCTGGCAGGAAGCCAAACGTTTTTTCCAAGAAGCACAGAAGCTCACCCCGGACGACAAGGACGCCAAAGTACAACTAAAGAAGATTGAAGCGCGTCTACGCGAGGAAGAAGCAGGAGGCTACAATCTAATGAAGATCAGGACCGGTCTCTCAAAAGCCCGATCAAGAGTTGACGCTGGAAACTTTATCAAAAACACTGTAGTCAAAGACAGCCCAGGAAAGGGCCGCGGACTATACGCTACCCGTGACCTCGCCCCTGGCGAGACTGTCATGTGCGAAAAGGCCTTTTGCGTAGTATGGGGTCACGAAGAAGACACTCTTACAGCTATGACGTATGACATCCGCGACGACCGTATTCGCGTCGCACCCGTCGGTCTCGCAAAAGCGCTCGTTCAGAAATGTCTCAACCAGCCATCTCAAACTGAAGACCTAATGGATCTCTTCGGTGACTATCAAGGCGAAGGCAGCGATGTATACTCAAACGAGGATGGCCCCGTCGTAGACATCTTCCGGGTCCACGACATCATGTCGCGCAACGCCTTCGGGCCTGGAAGTCAGTTTGGAGAAGAGAGCGCGAGAAATGCTAGTACAGGTCTTTGGCGTCACGCTGCATATATCAACCACTCCTGTCTCGCCAACACAACAAAGGAGTTTGCGGGCGACATGATCATCATCCGCGCTACGGAGCCTATTAAAGCTGGCGAGGAAATTTTCCACCCCTACGATGCTTCGCTTGACTATGAAACGAGACAAGGGTTCCTGGAAAGGACATGGGGTTTCAGATGTGTATGTAAGCTTTGTGATGCGGAGAAAGAGGATGGACAGGAGATCAGGGATAAGAGGATGGAGCTGATGGGCGAAGCGGATGCTTTTATCGACAAGACGCCTTGGGCTGGCGCGAAGAGAGTGGTACTTAGGAAGGCGGCTAATATTTTGAAGAGTCTTGATGCGACGTATGATGAGGGAAGGTGGGAGGGGCTGCCTAGGAGACATACGGAGGGAATCAAAGCGTGGCTGGTGAAGGCTAGTCCGCGGTAAGGTTGACATGGAAAGTTCGCAAAGTGCGTATTTGGGTCAGGGAAAAAGTAGAATCCATCGATTGTTGTGATGCTAGAAGATGAACGATCGTCTGTTTACTAGCTACGGGCTTTCCTTCTATTCAACAGAAGATCGGTACAGGAAACTGTCACAATGATTGCTTAATGCTTCATCGATACCTTGGGCTCCGTCATAGGGTCGGCAGTGTACGGTGGCACTCCACTCTCTTCACTACTGATTGTTATGATCTCATTTGAGTTGTCAATCGTCTCCATTGGCGCAACTGGCTTTTCGCCCAGGGGAATCTTCGCGGAAGGGATGATCCAGTTGAACCAGGACGGCATTAAAAGACCCAATACAATCGTTGGTAGAACGAGATGAACGATGCTGAAGCCATAGATCATGATGGGGTCGTACATATGCGTTTCCGTGAACTTCGGATAGGCGAACGAGAGGACAATGGCAAGGATAGGACCGGAGATGTACTATGAAACAATCTTATTAGCGCGGTGCAATCATGAGCAATCAACTTTTTGTGAACATACCTTCATGATAGCAGCCCAAAAATAAGGGATATTCCAGTTCTTTCCGACGCCAATGAGAACATTGAGATCCCTAGTAAGCTGATTTCCAGGATAGAAAGCTACCCACCAGAAACGGCTCATGAACTTGCTGTTACCCCAGAAACGTGGGGCGGGGATACCAGGTGTTCTAGCAGCGAAGAGTGCGATGAAAGTGCTGGCAAAGAAGAAGGCAAAACCGACGCCAGCACCAATTCCAGGAGTGGAGCCGTAAGCAACGCGAATGCCAAGTCCTTGGGCGACAGCGAATCCGATGGTGTAGATGAGGTAGCTGGGCCAGCCGACCTGGTTCGCGACATCGCGGCAGCGGTAGAGCGATGTTGCGGCGAAGGTCTCGCACCATACTACAGATATGTTAGCGGACCATCCAATGCCGTCAGAAAGAGCATACGAACCTGTGAAGAAGAGGGCGACATCGTTAACGTATGTATCCACTGCATCAAGGGCTTGTAGACCAAACTCGGTGCAATAAATCAAAGAAATGAGCGCAGAGACAATAGTCACAATAGTGCAAACAGCCCAGCGAGGAATCTTGCAGCCCCAGTTTGTGTCGAGGATCAACGTAGTCATGACTTCGAGGAGAGAGAACGCGGAAGTGAGGCCGAGAAGGAAGAGCGTGAAGACTACTGAGTTAGCTCATGTCTCGAGTGCTGATCGTTCGCGGGTGCTTACAGAAGACTACGGAGAAAAACGGAGCGCCTGGCATCTGTGCTAGAGCTTCGGGGTATGTGATGAATCCTGTGACGAAAGTACCCAAGGCCTCGCCGCTGGAGGGGTCAATGCCTAGGTAGCCAATGACACCGAAGACTGAGAAAGCGGCAATGACCTCGACAGCGGAGTTGCTAAAGGCGATGATGAGAGCATCTTGCACGGCGTTTGAGTGTTGCGAGCAGTAAGATGCCCATGAAGTGAAGTACCTGAATGCGTGTCAGCGTACTTGCTTGTTGTGCCGCGTTTGAAGCTTACCCAAAGCCGACACCGATAGAGAAGAATATCTGACCGAAAGCCGCTTGCCAGATCTGCGGACTCTGGAGTGCGCTTGTCCTCCATGTAGCAAAGTACAATTTGATACCCTCTCCAGCATTAGGTAGAGAGACTCCACGACCAATAAGAATAATGATCAGAACCAGAGGAAGACCCATCGTAACGTAGATGACACGTCCAGTCATGCCTACACCCCTAAAAACGCACAACCAGGTGACAAACCAGGTGAAGATTGCCCAGCCTGCAGTCTCTCCCAGCATCCCGGTTCCCGTGTAACTAGTGTAAGAGGCGACACTGCCATCGGGGTTGAAGCTACCGGTCGATGCTGGGGCCGCGTTGGCAACTATGACTTCGGCAAAGTACTCGCTAAGGTCCGCCCCTTTCCATGGAAGGGGACTCTGGAACGATCGAGCAAAGTACTTCATGATCCAGGATAGGAGCGGTACATAGTAGGTGACAACGACATACTGAGAGTGGAAGATTAGCGTTTGTTCTGCAACTCTGTCAGACCCGAATCTGCTTACACCGTTGAATACGACGGCAAGACCAATGCCTTTGGCGCGCTTGTTGTTGCTGTGCCATGCCAACACAGGACCACCACGGTAGACGGTACCAAGCGCGATCTCCAAGACCAAGACGGGAAGGGCAACGAAAAAAAGAGCGATGAGGTACGGAATGAAGAACTGAAGACCGTAGTTGTTGTACACGACTGATGGGAATCGTAGCAGGTTACCAAGACCAACGGCACCGCCCATGGCGCAAAGAACGAATTGAACACGGTTGCCGAACACATCGCGGCCATCTTCCCCTTTTTTCGAGTCTGGCGAGAGCTTCAAAAGGATTTTCTTGATTGCTCCCATCTTGACGTCCAAGGCGAGAAGATATGAATTGTGAGAACAACAGGAGTTGTGTGGTGAGTCTCAGAGTCGACCGTAAGACTGGCGCAGTTGATCCCGGTATATAGAGACATACTATCTGACCATCCTCTCTTGGATTCCTGTCTCACCAAGCACTGCCCAGCCCGAGCAATCGCCCACCTTCCTTCTACAAACATCACTACAACTGTGGCGTACATCTCCAAGACTTCCCCAGATTCTTCGCACAGGCTCAGCTAGCTCCAGGCGTGCCCTACAGGCCGGATACAACGGATCCCAAGTGATCAGCAGCTTCATCTTGGTTGGATGATTCAGATTAGACAAATGCCAGCTCCGTACCATGTTCTCGGACGTGGCGCTGGTCCTGTGTTAGCGTGCCAGCCACGAGGGGTAGTGATATCGTCAGGTCACTACGATAAGTCTTGGGCCTGAGGGCGGGGTCTTGGCACGCGTTCGAATACACACACGCGACAGGTGAGGCCATCCAGATCCGGGGTAATGCTCGAAAATCGACCATACACTGCGAGTAATATCAGCGTTGGCTGAGAGCTAGACCGTGCATTTGTTATCTGTAAGATGGCACCCGGCTACACGGCACTGACTTGGCACTTGGAAGCCCGATGGCCTGGGCCGGGCGTAAAGTCGCTCCGACTACTGTGTACTTTGGTATGAGCCCTTGATGAAACGATGTGTTGGCGTTGGTAATGATGATAACGATGGCGGTCGCTTGACTGTGTCTATGATCCGGCGGTTACCAGCGGGTGACGGTCCTCGCAAAGCATCGGTCCATGTGTACGTCGCGTAGAAGCGAGGGTCTCTGGGGGCTATCTGGAGGGCCAGTCTTGCGTGCCTCTTGTGCCTGCTCTTTTTCTCAGTGCGCTAGTCGTACGCGTACATGAGAAGCATGCTCTGGAATAGTTGAGGAATTGTCCAAGTATCGCATTGATCTGAACGGACGGGAAAAAGGCAAGTTTCATCGATCGTGGAGAACAGTTCTGGAGGCGCGAATTGTAGGGGCATGGCTACCTGCTATATATCAACGAGGTGTAATGAGATCGCTCGTAGGGCGCGTTGCGTGAGAGTGGAGCTAGCGCCGATTCCGGGATCATCGGACCCATCTCAGGACAAAATATGCGGAGAACTTCCAACCTCATCATTGCGGCGCCCACAAGAGTTGGCAATTCAGCAATGTACATACTGGATGGTCTGCAAGTTACTACAGCGCTTAAATTCCTTGCCATAGTCCCAGAATGCCCTCTTCACCATCCCCGAGCACAGGATCCTTCCTTGGCACCTTTACATGCCAAACCTCTCCCTCCTTTCCATTATGCTCACCTCCAACAGCGAAATCCCAAACACCACCGTAAGGATATGCGCCCATCATCATGAAATTCTTCTCGACCTCGACACTCTCAAAGAACTTTCTTCTCTCTCGCTCCTTCTCATCATCAATCTCTGCTGCCCGACCCTCTTCAACATCCTTTGGTTGATAGAACCCGAGCTTTTCATTATGTGGTTTTGGAAGAAACGTCTTGTGGCTTACTCCAGCAGGTATGATAAAAACGTCGCCAATCCTCGCTTCAATGTCTATGCCGCCTTCTTCACCATCTGCTCTATCTCCTGGTGAGTGCTTTCCCTGGGTCCAGGAGGGTGAGTCGGCAACACCGAAGCGGATGGTGGCACCTTCGCCTGAGATGACAGTCATGGCTTCATGTGTGGTGGAGTGATAGTGGGATTGGATATCCAGACCGTATTTTGCTATCCATTGCGTTTGCCAGCCATTTGAGGCGTAGAGATCTAGTATTTGAGTAGTTTTGAAGGTGGGCGATGATACTAGATCGCGGAGTAGACCTGGGTAGTGGAGTAGTGGATAGGGGGAGTTTGGGATAAGCGGCGTTGGAGGGAGTTTGTAAGAGTTTACTTTTATTCCCATTGCGAAGAGTGATATGTTGAGGTAGTTCGGCTGGTATCACTGAACGGATAGGTGGATGGGATATATCTGAGGAAACACTTGCCCGAACGGGAAGTGACAGCGCGGGGTTTGACGTCAGAACCGTCGTAACGGCAATGAAGCCGAGACGGTTGCGCTCCCGACACATAAGAGAAATATCAATGTATACGTTTGGATAGGCGAATACTTTTAATCTATCGATACCACGTTTCTCTGATCAGAATTCCAAAGCAACCTTCCCAATCGCTTTTCCACCTTCAATGATCTCATGAGCTTTTCTCAAGCCATCTTCATCGACCTTCAGCTTCTGCATGCAATGACACTTCACTTTCCCATCATCTAGCATTTGAGCCAATTCTTCGAGAATTCTTCCGTGAGTCTCAACGTCGACTCCGTAATACGGTTTTGTGCCCAACAATGCCCAAGTGAACGTAAGGCTCTTTGCCATGAATTCGGTGCCATACATTGGCATCTCCTTGTCTTGAACAATAGAACATACTCTTCCGAAGGGTGCACAAATCTTAGCTGCAGGTGCGAGATAGCCGGACATTGGCGTGTGCGTGATGAAGACGTATTTGATGGGGACGTCGAGCTTTAACTTTTCAACTT